TCTCATGTCTCTCCAGCCACCACGTTTCGTTTTCTTATGGGCGCTGACTGGCGGCACTGCTGGCTTTCGCGCGTCCAGTCTCTACGCGCTTACCCCTGTCGTGAGGCAACTGCCTCAAGGACACAGCACGGCGGCGAAGCCGGCGGTCCTCCGCGCCCTTGCGCGGCTCGCGTAACCACGGCTCGTCTCCTCTTGCATGCTGTCTGGCGGCGCTGCCGGTTTCGTGCATCCGCAGATTCTGCACGCACACTCCCGTCGCGAGACAGCCACCTCGCGGACGCAGCCCGGCGGCAAGGCCAGCAGTCCTGCACGCATGCATTGGCCTTGGATTCACTCCTTCAGGAGCCGCCTGGCGGCGACCCCAGCTTGCGCGCATCCGTCGATTCTGCGCGCCTGACCCCGTCGCGAGGCAGTTCGCCTCAAGGACGCAGCCCGGCGGGAAAGCCCGCTGCCCTGCACATTCTCACGTCGAGCCGCTACCAAGGTCCGTCCCCTTTTGGGCGCTGTCTGGAGGCAGCGCCGACCATCGTGCATCCGCAGATTCTGCGATTTTGCCATCGTCGCGAGGCAGTCGCCTTCAGGGCACAGCCAGGCGGCAGGGCTGGCCGTTCTGCACGCCCAAAACTCCGCGGTTCTCCCACTTCGCTTCCTGTGGGGTCGCCCTGGCGGCAGTGTCTGTTTGCGAGCATTCGCCGCTTCTGCGCGCTTACCACCGCCGCGAGGCTGTTGTTTTAAGAACGTTCCCCAGCGGCAAGGCCGGCGGTCCCGCGCGCCCTCGCGTCGAAGCGCTACCGAGGTTCGCCCCCTTTGGAGCGCCATTGCCAGCCAGCGCGCGCCCGCAGATCATGCGCGCCTACCCCCGTCGCGAGGCTGTTGCCGAAGGACGCAGCTCGGCAGCAAGGCTGGCGGTCCTGCAGACTCCCACGTCGCACGGAAGACTGTGAATCAAAGCTATCTCTTTTTGGATACTGGGTGGCGGAAGTACCAAATGTCGCGCATCCGCAGATTATGCTCGCTCGCCCCAGTTGCGAGACAGTTTGCCTCACTGACACAACCCGGCGGAAAGGCCAGCGGCCGTGCACATTCTCATGCCGAGCCGCTACCAGGTTCGTCTCCTTTGGGGCGCAGGCTGGCGGCAATGCCAGATTTCGTGCACCCACAGATGATGCACGCCCACCCCCGTCGCGAGGCTGTTGCCTCAATCAAACAGCCCGACGGCAAGGCCAGCGGTCCTGCACACCTTCACGTAGAGGACTCTGGTCTACCTCGACCCTGAGGCCCTCAAAAAGAGGAAACATAACTCCATCGATCAAATCCGAAGACACTTTCAATCGACACGTCGGAAGTTCTGGCCTCCAGGACACAGCCCAGCAGCAATGCCGGCGGTCCTGCACGTTGATCCTTCTTTACGCGCTACGTGCCTCCAAGACACGGCCCAGCGACAATGCTGGCAGCGCCGTTCGCATCCTGACACGTCGGAAGGTCCGACCTCCAGGACACAGCCCGGCGGAAATGCCGACGGTCCTGCACACCTTTCTGCACGAGGCATGCGCGCATAGGCCGGCGACAACGCCGGGGGGGTTGTTTCCACTGGACATGTTGGTGATTCCGCCCTGCTGGACGCTGAGCTGGCGGGCCTACGCGCCTGGTCGGAGGTATGGGCCTCCAGGACACAGCCCCGCGGCAGTGCCCACACTCGTGCGCACCTGCCCCCTACGAGGCAAGTCGGGGCGCAGCCCAGCAACGACGCGGGAGCTTCTGCCCTGCAGGACACAGTCCAGCGGCAATGCCGGCGGTCCTGCTCACCTTTCCGGGCCTGGCCGGCCCTCGGCGACCTTCGGCCCCAAAGCGGCCTTCTGAGGTCACCGGCCGCCCAGGACCGCCCGCGTGGCCCCGAGCCTGCACTGGTGGGGAACGCGCTGCGGCCACTCTCGCGCGCAAGAGGGCGGGGCGAAGCATCCTGTGGAACAGGTCCCTTGTCACCCCACAGCGGAGGCATCGGCGGCAGTGGAAGGGGTCCGCCCCGTCCATCATGAGGGGGGGTCGACCCAGCCTGCCTGGGAGCTGCCTACCCGTGTCACCCATGCGGTGGCGATCCGACCTGCGATGGCGCAGGTCCCCGCTTGTGATACCTGAGGTGGCGTCCTGGCCTGCTGCAGAGCTGGTCCCCATGCTGCCCTGATGCGACCCCCATCACCGCCAGGATGGCGATCCTCCCTGCGGTGTAGCAGGCGCACGTGCACCAACTAGGGTAGCAAGCCGTCCTGCCTTGTGGCACCCAGTGAACTGTCCTGGGCACCCATACAAGGTAAGAGAGAGCCAGCGTCTGACGCTACTCTGGGGAATGCCAGCCCATCTGATCAGGTGGTGAGACACGCTTCATGACTGATCATTTGTACGGTAGGAGGCGAAAGGGGCTATCGTGAAGCACCCTCCGCCAAACCAAATGTATCGAACAGAGGTGGTTGTTTCGGAGTATAGTGACCACGCATACCATCCACCAAACCAAGTGCCAACAACAGTCCCAGCACAGGCTCTGGGACCAGAAGGATGTCATCCAAACCTTCACGAGCACCTTCACAGGATTACGCCTACCCTCAAGGGCATTAACACTACACTGCGATCATCCTCATCCCTCCACCTCCTCGTCCTCCTCCTCCTCCTCCTCGTCCACCTCCTCCTCCTGCTCTTCCTCATCCTCCTCCTCGTCCTCCTCCTCCTCGTCCTCCCCCTCCTCCTCCTCCACCTGCTCCTCCTCCTCCTCCTCCTCATCATCATCGCCACCACTATCATCATCATCATCATCATCATCATCATCATCATCATCATCATCATCATCATCATCATCATCATCATCATCATCATCATCATCATCATCATCAGCAGCAGCAGCAGTAGCATCAGCATCAGCATCAGCATCAGCATCAGCATCATCATCATCATCATCATCATCATCATCATCATCATCATCATCATCGTCATCAACATCATCAGCAGCATCAGCATCATCTTATTCGTCATCATCATCAGCATCATCAGCATCATCATCCTCGTCATCATCAGCATCATCATCATAATCCTCATCAGGATCATTATCAGAAGCATCATCAGAGGCACCGTCTTCATCATCATCATCATCATCATCAGCAGCAGCAGCAGCAGCATCGTAATCATCAGAAGCATCATAATCATCATCATCATCATCAGCAGCAGCATCAGCATCATCATCATCATCATCATCATCATAACAAGCATCATCAGCAGCAGCATCATCAGGATCATCTTGATTATCATAATCACCACCATCACCATCATCAGCAGCATCAGAATCAAAAACATAATCAGGATCATCTCGATCATCATAATCACCACCACCACCACCGTCATCATCATCAGCATCATCATCATCATCATCATCAGCATCATCATCATCGTCCTAACAAGCATCACCATCAGCAGCATCACCATCAGGATCATCTCGATCATCAGATTCACCACCACCACCACCATCATCATCAGCAGCAGCAGCCGCATCATCAGCAGCAGCAGCCGCAGCAGCATTAGCATCATCATCAGCATCATCAACACCCCCATCATGATCACCACCGCCACAATCATCATCAACAACATCAACATCATCATCATCGTCATCATCACCATCATCTTCATCATCATCAGCATCAACATCATTACCGTCATCATTAGCATCACCATCAGCATCCCCAATAGCATAATCATCATCATCATCAGCAGCATCCAAATCAGCATTATGTTAGCCACGTCCAGCAACAACATCATCAACAGCAGCAGCATTATCATCAGCATCATCATGGTCGACATCATCACCACCACCATCATCATCACCCGCATCAGCATCATCATCATCATCATCATCATCATCATAAGCATCATAATCAGTATCAGCACCAGTATCTTCATCATCAGCAGCATCATCGTTGTCGACATCGTCATCGTCAGCATCATCAGCATCATCAGCATCATCATCAGCAGCAACATCGTCGTCGTCGCGAGAAGCGGGAGGCGAAGCTGCGGGAAGGCAAACTGTGACCGCTGTCTCTGGCGTCGAAGGGAGCCTGGCGAAGCTGGAGCCCGAGCTCATCAGCTATATAGTGCGGGGATCAGGCGTGGAAGGCAAGCTGTGGAAGGCAAAGAAAGCACCGAGTGTCAGATGTCAGCTACATTGTCAAAATCAGGGCGTGCGCGAAGATGGAGCCCGAAGACGTGCGAGAAGGGCGAGCATCGACAGTCATCACTATCGCCACGATACGAGATGGGGAAGGCGAAGCTGGGGCCCGATGTCATCTACAGCGCGGGAATCAGGGTGGCAACAGGCGGTCATCAGCTAAAACTCGGGCGCTCGCCACAGGTTCAAGGAGAGTAGCTGGAACGTGCGTCCTCAGCTACAGTGCACAAGGCTCGCAAGACAGATCAATGTGAGGCCGCCCTCATCACCCAGGATAGGCCTCGGAGTGGGTGTTCGTCACATCGTCGGCCCTGGAGTCGTGCCAACTGTAGGGCTGGTCACGTCAGTCGAATCCTAGTCGAATTCTCCTCCCTCCTCCTTCTCCCCCCTCCTCCTCCGCCTCCTCCTCCTCCGCCTCCTCTTCCTATTCCTCCTCCTCATCCTCCATTTCCTCATCCTCTTCCCCTATTCTCAGTATCCTCGTCCTCCTCCTCATCCTCCTCGCCATCATCCTCCTCTCCGCCTCCTGCGGCTCCTCTTCTTACTCCTATATCCTCCTCCCCCTCGTGCTCCTCCTCCTCTATCCTCCGCCGCCTCCTCATCCTCCCCCTCCTCATGTTCCTCCCCCTCCGTCTGTACCCGCATCCTGTCTCATCCTACTGGTCAACCTCCTCCTCCTCCTCCTGCACATCCTCGGTTCTCCTTTTTCCGTCTCCTCTTCATCATCCTGCCCACCCCCCTCCCCCCCATCCTTATCATCACCGTTCGCCGCCTGGGAGGGAGCAGGGCGGACGGCCTTCCAGGATGTCGATGCGGGCGAGCTCGCCAAGTGCCTCGCGCTCTCCAAACGCTCGCTCAGTCTCCTCCTGTTCCTCATCCTCCTCCTCATCCTCAGCACCATCCTCATCATCATCCTCATCATCATCATCATCATCATCAGCATCATCATCATCATCATCATCGTCGTCATCATCATCATAATCAGCATCATCATCATCATCGTCATCATCAGCATCGTCATCAGCAGCATCAACAGCATCGGCATCCGCATCATCATCAGCATCAGCATCGTCATCATCAGCATCAGCGGCATCATGAGCATCATCATCATCATCACCATCACCATCACAATCAACATCACCATCATCAGCGGCAGCAGCAGCATCTGCATTATCATCAGCATCATCAGCATCATCATCAGCAAGAGCAGCATCAGCATCAGCATCATCACCATCATAATCATCATCATCATCATCAGCAGCATCAGCAACAACAGCAGCATCAGCATCAATATCTGCAGCATCAGCATAATCAGCATCAGCATTAGCATCAGCATAAGCATCATCCTCAACAGCACCGTCATCGTCATCGTCATCATCATCAGCATCGGCATCATCATCAGCACCTTCGTCATCGTCAGCATCATCATCAGCATCAACATCACCATCGTCAGAATCATCATCCTCAGCATCAGCATCAGCAGCGTAAATCGGTAACATCATCAGCAGCATCATCATTATCACCAACATCATCACCACCATCATCATCATCATCATCAGCATCATCATCAGCATCAGCATCAGCATCATCACCACCACCAGCATCATCATCATCATCAGCATCAGCAGCAGCATCATCATCATCATCGCCATCCTCAGCATCAGCATCGTCATCATCTTCCGTATCACCATCACCATCATCATCATCATCAGCATCATCATCATTTGCATCCGCATCATTATCATAGCATCGTCGTCATCAGCGTCATCAGCATCATCGTCGTCATCATCATCAGCATCATCAGCATCATCATCACTATCAGCATCAGCAACAGCATCATCGTCACCACCACCAGCATCATCATCATCATCAGCATCATCATCCATCATCATCACAATCAGCATCATCAGTATCATCATCCTTATCAGCATCAGCATCATCCTCATCCTCATCATCAGCATCAGCAGCAGCAGCAGCGGCAGCAGCATCATCAGCAGCATCAGCATCAGCAGCAGCATCATCAGCATCGTCAGCATCATCATCAGCATCGGCATCATCATCCTCATCATCATCCTCGTCATCACCATCATCGTCATCGCCAGTTGCATCATCATAACTATCATCAGCATGAGCACCAGCACCATCATCATCATCATCATCATCATCGTCGTCGTCGTCGTTGTCATCATCACCGTGACCATCATCATCAGCAGCATCATCATCATCGCCACCACCACAACCATCATCATCACCACCATCACCATCCTCCTCCTCACGGATCATCACCACCACCGCCACGCACACCCCCTCCCAACCACCACCACCGCAATCATCATAACCAATCATCCTCATCATCAGCATCATCATCATCATCATCATCATACTCATCAGCATCATCATCAGCATCATTATCAGCATCATCATCCGCATCATCATCACTATCGTCTCAGAGTCGTCATCAGCAGCAGCAGCATCACAATCACCATCATCACCCTCAGATCATCACCATCGCCATCAACATCACCATCAGAATCACCATCATCATCATCAGCATCATCAGCAGCAGCAGCAACAGCAGCATCAGCATCAGCATCAGCATCAGCATCATCATCATCATCATCATCATCATCACCATCATCATCATAAGCAGCAGCAGCAGCAGCAACAGCAGAGTAAGGGGGCCGAACGGTCATTCACTGTCCCTGGGTGCGTGGCTGAAGTGCGGTTCCGCGGTGCGAATTACTATTACGTCGTTTTTTGCTGAACTCTCATTCTTGAAGAATCCGCCACCGTGCCTCTGGCACGAAGTGGAGTGCCCCAAGGCTCATGCATGCAGCACTGAGAGGTATGAGTATCGTTTAACCGATCCCCATCCCCAGCGGCGTGGCCTGGGCCCCACTGGCTGATTTACCCCCCTAGATGGGGATATAGGCCGTCCACTTCGGGTTTCGAGGGGTGTATCCCCAACTGGGGGGGTAATTTGGTGGGGGTCTCGAAGGAGATGGGGATGGGGGTCGGATAAACAATACTGAAGGTAGAGGCTGTGCTGCTGCTGCAGCCAGAACTGTAAGTCTTCAAGGGCCCGCACCAGCCATTTCCCAAGCCGTCCTGGACCGTCCTGGGGCGTCTGGGGGGGTCCGGGGCTGCCTCCCGCAAGTGTTGGAGTGTTTCCTGCAAGTACACTGTGCCCGCCCACAACGGTCCAAGAGAGCCCCGACTCGCCGACCGAAACATAACTCAAAGAGGTTGCCAATAGCCTCAAGACGGCCCGAGACACCTCCAAGACGGCCGCAGAGGCCTCTAACAGCACCCCTTATTCCCCACATGCTTCGTGGGGTTCTGGTTTTCTTCCCTGCCGCGCCGCACCCACGACACTCACACACACACACACACACACACACACACACACCTCACTCTTCGTACAGCACAGCACAGCACAGCACAGCACAGCACAGCACAGCTCAGCTCAGCTCAGCACAGCACACAGCTCAGCTCAGCTCAGCAGACAGCACAGCGCAGCACAGCACAGCACAGCTCAGCTCAGCACAGCACAGCACAGCTCGGCTCAGCTCAGCACAGCTCAGCACAGCCCAGCACGGCTCAGCACAGCACAGCGCAGCTCGGCTCAGCTCAGCTTGACACGCTCGCAGAGCGTGGCAGGCGCTGCATTTTCTCGGCACCACTGGGGGCCCAGGGCGTTGCAGGCGTGGCACTTCCTCGACACCACAGGGGGGGAGCTGTGGGTGGGGACGCTATCCGTTTCGGGCTCGCAAAGCGTGGCAGGCGTGGCACTTCCTCGACACCACAGGGGGGGAGCTGTGGGTGGGGACGCTATCCGTTTCGGGCTCGCAAAGCGTGGCAGGCGTGGCACTTCCTCGACACCACAGGGGGGAGCTGTGGGTGGGGACGCTATCCGTTTCGGGCTCGCAAAGCGTGGCAGGCGTGGCACTTCCTCGACACCACAGGGGGGGAGCTGTGGGTGGGGACGCTATCCGTTTCGGGCTCGCAAAGCGTGGCAGGCGTGGCACTTCCTCGACACCACAGGGGGGGAGCTGTGGGTGGGGACGCTATCCGTTTCGGGCTCGCAAAGCGTGGCAGGCGTGGCACTTCCTCGACACCACAGGGGGGAGCTGTGGGTGGGGACGCTATCCGTCGGGCTTGGTCGACACCAGCAGGGGGGGGAGCTCACCACAGGGGGGGAGCTGTGGGTGGGGACGCTATCCGTTTCGGGCTCGCAAAGCGTGGCAGGCGTGGCACTTCCTCGACACCACAGGGGGGGAGCTGTGGGTGGGGACGCTATCCGTTTCGGGCTCGCAAAGCGTGGCAGGCGTGGCACTTCCTCGACACCACAGGGGGGGAGCGTGGGTGGGGACGCTATCCGTTATCGGGCTCGCAAAGCGTGGCAGGCGTGGCACTTCCTCGACACCACAGGGGGGGAGCTGTGGGTGGGGACGCTATCCGTTTCGGGCTCGCAAAGCGTGGCAGGCGTGGCACTTCCTCGACACCACAGGGGGGGAGCTGTGGGAGGGGACGCTATCCGTTTCGGGCTCGCAAAGCGTGGCAGGCGTGGCACTTCTTCGACACCACTGGGGGGGAGCTGTCGGTGGGGACGCTATCCGTTTCGGGCTCGCAAAGCGTGGCAGGCGTGGCACTTCCTCGACACCACAGGGGGTGCGCTGGGGGTGGTCTCCCTATCCGCTGCGGGCTCGCAAAGCGTGGCAGGCGTGGCACTTCCTCGACACCACAGGGGGGGCGTTGGGGGTGGTCTCCATATCCGTTACGGGCTCGCACAGCGTGGCAGGCGTGGCACTTCCTCGGCCCCAAAAGGGGTGCGCTGGGGGTGGTCACCCTATCCGTGACGGGCTCGCAAAGCGTGGCAGGCGTGGCACTTCCCCGGCACCACAGGGATTGCGCTGGGGGTGGTCTCCCTATCCTTGACGGGCTCGCAAAGCGTGGCAGGCGTGGCATCTCCTCGACACCACAGGGGGTGCGCTGGGGATGGTCTCCTTATCCGCTGCGAGCTCGCAAAGCGTGGCAGGCGTGGCACTTCCCCGACACCACAGGGGATGCGCTGGGGTTGGTCTCCCTATCCTTGACGGGCTCGCAAAGCGTGGCAGGCGTTGCACTTCCTCGACACCACAGGGGGTGCGCTGGGGGTGGTATCTTTATCCGTTGCGGGCTCGCAAAGCGTGGCAGGCGTGGCACTTCCTCGACACCACAGGGGGGGAGCGCTGGGGGTGGTTTCCCTATCCGTTGCGGGCTCGCAAAGCGTGGCAGGCGTGGTACTTCCTCGACACCACAGGGAGTGCGCTGGGGGTGGTATCCTTACCCGTTTCGGGCTCGCAAAGCGTGGCAGGCGTGGCACTTCCTCGACACGACAGGGGGTGCGCTGGGGTGGTCTCCCTATCCGTTGCGGGCTCGCAAAGCGTGGCAAGCGATATGGCGTTGGATGGCACATAGGGAAACATTCGCGACGAGGGCTCAGAACGCAGGATTGCGCATATATTAAAAATCTAAGCAAGCACATCAGATTTTAAATTAAGTGTGTGGGGTTCTTCGGTAGCGTAATTGCGTTTTTTTCACATGTTCGGCGTTTCTGACTTTTCGGGTTCCCGACGCTCCAAGACGGCCCAAGAGGTCCCAAAGATCGCCACAAGACGGCCCAAGAGGCTCCCAAGACGGCACCAAGACAGCCCAAGAGGGCCCCAAGACGATCCAAAAGGCTCCAAGATGGCCCAAGAGGCCCCCAAACAGCTCCCACAGGAGCAGGGTCCCCAAACAGACATTTCGAGCCCGCGGCCCCAAGAAGCCCCCAAAAGGCGCCCAACAGGCC